GTTCGTTCAATCCATAAGATTTGAGCTCGACGTACTGCGTCGTCTTTCCTGACCCAGTTTCGCCGATCATTACGACAATTTGATTGTTCTTGAACTACAATGTTTGGTGAGTCAATGCCAAAGTAAAAGCCTCAAGGAGACTTACGATATCATAGAATTCATCCATTTGTGCATAAACAGGGAGTTTTTTGCGGGACTCTAGGATCTTCTTGAATTGAGCAGAATACGGGAGCTTGGTGAAGGGATTGATTCCTCCGTCCTTTTCTTGATGTCAGTTCAGTACCGCATTAGGCATAGTGATTGGCACTCACCAAGACAACTCTAGCCTGTTTGGCAGTTACAAAGCGCGGAACGAGACCCTCCAAAGGATCTGGCGCAGGCCTTCCAGAGCCTCGTAAATGGGGGGCAAGATGTTGCAAGTAAGGATTGTCTTCAGGTTCTGGTGCGCCATTGTTGGTGCGCTTTGAAGCCTCTCCCATTATTCGAAGTAATCGTTAGGTAGTGTTCTAATGCTGTAGTGACCTGAGAGAAAACTAAAGAGAGGAAAACAGTACGAAGAAAATACGCCCAGCAGCTCTAAGTGCGAGGCCGGAATTATCCGTTCGCTTGGTTCCGATCGTTACATAATCGGAGGAATCGCAAAGCACCTTGTACGATACAACTCTTCTAGGTGATCTGGGGATCCGATTAACTCACTTCTGTATTCAGCTGCCTTAGCATGTCTAGATCTGTGGCAATTATTGGTATTTTTTGGTATTCCAAAATTTGCCCGGAGATGTCGAGTATTAAACCCATGTGGTCGATCCAGGGGGTGGTATGTCTGGACTTGCGACGGCACGAGCGTGTCTAGAGGCTGGCCTTCGTCCCCGTGTCTTTGAGCAAAAGCTGACTGTGGGGGGCTTATGGTCTCCCGAATCTCCACTGTGTCGCCAAACTATGCGCACGAATATATCGCGGCACACTGTTGTTTTTAGCAGTCTTCCCTGGGCAAGCAAAAAAACATTTCCCACCGCTGACGAAGTGTGGAGATATCTGTCAATATACAGCCAGACATTTCTTGATCCTGACACCGTGTCATTTGGACATCGTGTTATGAGAGTCTCGCGACGTGAAGAAGGATGGAATGTCGCCTGGGAAGCACAAGACGGCAATGGGGATCATACATTTGACTATCTTGTTGTAGCATCAGGCCACTTCTCAAAGCCGTACACACCGAACATCCCAGGTCTCCAGAATTTTCCAGGTACCGTTCTCCACAGTTCGGAATATCGAGGACCGGAGCAAGTCCAAGACAAGCGCGTCGCCGTTGTTGGAGATTCCCTCAGTGCCGTTGAAATATCTGGTGAAATTGCGCCTCACGTCTCTAATTTGAACCCACATCCACCCCCGTCCCTTCTGGATATTTCCTCGGTACCTCCCCTTGCGTACCTCCGACCCGCAAACCCCATTCGTCCCCCTCGATTTGGCATCTTTCACAAGATCGCCTCGAAAGCAACCTGGAGAAATCCTACTGCCCTCCGAAGAGGATATTCTCAAAAAAAACCGCTTCATCAAATCTCTGTGCGGCGATCAGTCGCTCCTCTCTCCGACATTGCGAATACCAGAAGATCAGGCTGCATTCACAGCTATATCGGAACACTACGCAAATGCAGTTCGCGCAGGGGTCATTTCTCTGCACGCTAGAAGGTTGGAATCTGTACAAGGTCAACATCTTGTCCTCGACGATGGTGTTCGGCTAGAAGAGCCTGTGGATGTCATCATAACTGCCACAGGTTTCCGCACCTCGATACCATTCTTCGACGATGACATCCTCGCCACGTTATCGTACGCTCCCTTAGACCCGACCACACCTTTCTTGCTATATCGCAACACCTTGCATCCTTCTCTTCCCACTGCGCCTTCGTAGGCATGTACCGGGGACCTTATCAAGGCGTAATCGAGCTTCAGGCTCGCTGGGCTGCCAAGGTACTCTCCGGGCAGCTTCCTATTCCCCCAGAGCAGACGCAGCGCGACGGAATCGCCCTCGAACGCCGTATTCGTGAACGGGTCCCGCGCTTCCAATTCCCACATTCAGATTACGTCGGTATCATGGCCGACCTCGCTGAAGAACTGGGAATCGATCCCGTCGCCGCCTGGCCGGGGCGGAACACCAATACAGTCACTCCTGCTCAATTTGGCAGCGGGGAGGCCGCTTCGCAGCTGCTCACCGAGGTCGAGGAAGATCTCGCTGCGGCAGAGAGGGGCAAATGGGTGGCGGCTGCGGTGTACAGTGCCTTGCAAGGTCCGTGGAAGATCGAGCGCCGGCTTGAGAGTGCGATGAGCACTTTGCCTTCCGGGACGTTTCGAGGGCGAGCTTCGTTTACTCGGCGAGTGACGCAGGCCTCCACGCCTTCGTCCCCGGAGTATGAATACGGCTATTTGGAGACTGGACAGCTTACTACGGATACTGGGCTTCAACTCGATGCTCAACGGAGATACCGCTACGTATACGATGAAGATGACGACCGAATCGACGCTTACTTTGATGATACGTCGGATCGTGGATTTTTCCATTCGCTCCGCTTTCTTGCGCCGGGTGAGGAGAGTCATGAAGGCGGTGATTGGGCACCCTGGTTCAGAGAAGCACGCAAGGGATGGTGTGCAATTGGAAACCATTTATGCCAGCCTGACACGTATGATGCTGCATACTGGTTTGCTTTCACTGGGGTTCATCTGGAAGAGTTTCGAATCTCATATCGGGTCAAAGGTCCCAATAAAGATTATGTCGCTAGTGCAACCTTCACGAGGTAGGAGCAGATGTACTCGATTGATTAGAGTGTTAAGGAAGACCAATGGGCAGAATATATAGGAAGCAGGCGGCAGGAAGGGGACAAAAGAGTGAAATTTAATAAACGCAAAACATCCAAGATATGGGGTATTGGAAGGGAAAAAATGCGGTTTACCGTCGCTGAGTTCCGCGACCATAACCGAGTTGAAGATTGTCCAGCTCCGACTCGAGGGACTTGATGGTGCTGTGAGCCAGTTCGAGATCCTTGTTGAGCCTGTCGCGCTCGGCAATGAGCTAAAACGCATCAAGAGGCGTCAGTCACAATGCCGTCCCAAATAGAGGAGACACACTTACGTGTTGCTCCCATTGTCTGAAACGGGCTTCCTCGGCTTTGACCTGCTCCGTGAAGCGCTTCCTCAAGGCCTCCTCCTCTTCCTTGAACTTGGGATTTTCGACCTTCTTGACTTTGGGCTCGCCGAACTTGCGGGTCTCCATTTGCTGCTGGCGGTAATTCTCGTAATGGGTCTCCTCGGTGGTCGAAATGAGGTCCAACATGTGGGTTCGAATGAGGAGGGAGCGTAGCTTGCGGAAATCACAATGCTGTTCGTTCTCAACTGTGTACGAAAAATAGGTAAGTATGGCAGCGACTAGCTATGAGACCGAAATCCCTGACCTTCTGCCACACCCCATAAGTACTCGCGGCCTTGACTACACGCCCGTCAGCGGTCTTAACATCTTCGGTGCTACCAATAATAGAGAATGGCATTGCGTTCATCAGTCCACGGGCAAGGTCAGCACTCTGCTCATCGTCGGCCTCAATGGCCGGTTGGTACACGCGAATACCCTGCGCAACGATAGTTTCGCGAATCTTTTGCGGAGGGCACAGTCAATGGATGTATCGTCATATACTCACAGACAACGCCACTCACTCGTTGCTTGAACAGGGCAAGATCGGACTGCGTCAAGGTATCTGCCTTTGCAATCACTGGAATCAGGTTCACGCGTGTACCAAGGCGTTTCATGATTTCGATATCCAGAGGCTTGAGACTGCACGAGGGCCATTAGCAGATGAGAGGATCGATGTGCTGCATGCACTTACGTGTGTCCCGTTGGCCTAATGAAGAACAAGCAGGCGTGAACGCGAAGATCACTCTTTTCCGAGCGTTCAGGTTGTTGCTCCTGCCTCATGTAGATTTCGTGCTGGTCGTCAACAAAGTCAATGATGGGAGCCCAGGAATCGCGGTTGTTGACATAGTCGCCGAAACCAGGGGTATCAATCACGGTAAGCTTGACTTTGAATGATTTCTCCTCCAATTCAGCTTTGATGATGTCCACCTGAGTTCGTGGTGTCAGATGTGAAAAGCAAAGTTAAAGTAACGACGCAAACCTCAGGTCAACTTGTCAAGCTGCTTGATGTGCCGACGGTGATAATTTTTTGGAGAGCAAAGTTCAGTCGAAAAGAGCGTGTTGATCAACGTGGACTTTCCCAGTCCAGACTCGCCTATGAGGACGATCAGGGATTATAAACAGAAAGAGCCTCAAGGGCTCCTGGCAGGTGTCAGCTTACCGACCACCATCACAGTGAAATGGGCCCCACGTTTTGCGACAATTTTATGCCTCTAGAAATACGTACACGCTAGTTAGAGGGAGAGACTGAGAAAAAGAACGAAGTCTATACTTGGTTGGGCAGGTTGGCGATGCCAATACCAGCGTCGTTAACGGAGGAGCCCATGGTCGGAGAGAGGGAAGTCATGAACTGGAGGCGTTGGCGAGTTGATACGTTTCGGCTTCTTCCGGTTCACATAATTGTCCGAATCACCATCGATTAAACTTTCAGATTGCGAAGAATCAACTGTGACACGTCAGGAGCTGCTGGCATAGAGGGATATCATCTGAAGCACACAATTTATACGTAAAGCTTCCAGGACATGTGTACATTTAGTGTTGAATACTGTTAGAGAAATCTCATAATTCCTCATTGGTGTACCCGCATGTGTGACATACAGTACTGTTCGTACCCTTTCAAATGATACGAATTTCTGTACCAAGAAACAATAGCTTCACGATAGCAAAACAATGTCAAACGTACAAAATACTCAAATAATACAGTTGTCTCAACGTGTTTGAGGTTCGTTTGAGCTCTATCGTGAACACCTAATGATGCGAGGGTTGCCCCCCTCTTGCAAAAGGAAAAACGACCATAAAGCACTATGTCCCGGAGGATGCGAACTGCTTCGCGTACTGGGAGTCGAACCCAGGTCCCCACTGGAACTCAACGGATGAGAGAGTGGTATCATAGCCGTTAGACCATACACGAATCCCACCTCTACCTTGGCCCCAAGAACTCAGAATTTGCTCCATTTTCTCATTATCGGTGGAGGTGACTGGATTACTGTAAACAAATATCTTATGGACTCCAATGATAGCATGAAGCTAACTTATGTTGTCGCCAGATATTGAAATATTATTGCCCATATGATACACAGTCGCCTAGTTGGGGTAGAGTCCGGATCCCGGCATTTACTTCTTAGTTCTGCCTAACCCACGAGTGAGGGTACTGGGTGGTCGCTGGAGCGGACACCTACCGCATGCTTTTCCCATGATTTTAATCCCATGGGTTTGGAGACGAGTGCGAGTTACGAATTCGTCCGATCACAATCGGAAGTTTCGGCTTGTCACCCCTACGTTCGACCCCTAATCATGAAAGCGTACAGGTGAGAATACTCTCAAGACCTGAGGACTCGCGGTCATTTCATGGGGGAACCCTAGGACTTTAGCTGACTAGCCCTCGTCTGCAGATTCAACGACGCTTCATATGTTAAGAACCCGGATCAGCGACTAGCTCACACTTACGAACCTGAACAACTCGTATCCGTTGAGGCTCTCGATCGACTGGGCGTAAAGTACTGGTCTATTCCCATCCAAGGATGGGAGCCTAAGATCGATGCTATCGCTGCTGAGCGAGCCTACAAGAATCGAGACCTCATCAACGTCACAAAGGAGGGTCTTGGAGAGTTGTATGAATCCAAAATCAAGAGTTTTTTCGAAGAGTGAGGACACCCATCTTGGCTTGGACCTTGGTGCATGGCCTGACCCTTTGCTTCAGACACCTTCATGAGGACGAGGAAATCCGCTACATCCTAGACGGGTCGGGATACTTTGATGTCCGAGGTAAGGCTGAAGACCTCCGCCCAGCCTCTCTCCTAACGACAGCGCTTCACCATGATGCAGACTTCCAAACTGACTCCTGGATTCGTATTGGCGTTGTGCCTGGTGACCTATTGGTCCTGCCAGCTGGGATTTATCATCGCTTCACCCTTGATCATACCAACGCCATCAAGGCCCTCCGTCTTTTCCAGGTGCGCCCAAATCATTGCTCATGGTCAACGAACTTGATTCACTCTTCCTCCAGGATGAGCCCAAGTGGATCCCCTACAATCGCTCTCCAGAAACAGATAGGAACCCATTCCGCCAGGAATATGCGAAGAGTGTATCCATTGCGGTATGATTCATCTGTTTCAACCCATGCCTGGTGTATGGATATGTAAGATCTGTAATAAGTCAACGTTGATACACATATGCTGTTTGACCGATTCGCCTCTTGCATGGGGGAGCGAGTGGTCCCTGCTTCTTATACGACCTTCATCGTTGATCACTAGTCTCGTCAAGATAAGCGCACAGATTATCAATAGTAATTTCAGGGGCTGGGGTTCGGGAGTCCCCGGCGTTGAGTATATGCCATTATCAGTTAGCACACACTTGAGAGTTCTAGTGTGTGCGAGAAACCGGCAAGTTCTTCCGCAACGATGCCAGAAGATGCACGATCCAATGATCCCAAAGTAAGAACCGCTGTCAGGGCGAGTTAAATCCTATATGGACAAGTCACCCATGTTTGTTCGAAGGATCGAATTTCTAGGGCGTTGGGAGCCGCCTTTCTTGGGCATCAAGTAGAACAACTGGAGACCAGGGTTCTCAAGGGGTCTGGCGTACGAGGAGGTGGAAGAGGTCGTGGGCAGCGCGGGCGTACTTGGAACCCTGCGGATCTAGTCGAACGCACTGGGTCTGGCCGGGCCGAAGCCAGAAGCCTCCTGCGTCACCAACGAGGAGGGCGGACGATCTGGTTCGCAGGAGATCATTCTCTCTCCACCCCGACCCCAGTATCGAGCCCGTCGTCGCCGAGCGTGAGAAACCAGCCATGGCCGATGTCATAGTGTTAGACGCCAGTGTTCTCGTTCACGCACTCGGACAAATGAAGAGATGGTGCAAGATCGAGCGTAAAGAGATTATCATTGTGCCCTTGGAAGGTGATCATCAACTCGGCGTTCGTATCTACCCATTTAACATTTCTTGGTGTTTAGCGTTGAATACTCTCGACCTCCTCAAGAAGGGAGGTACAACTATCGCCATTCATGCTCGAGCGGCCTCACGCTTCCTAGAAGCCCAAGTTGGCACAAACCCGCGCATCCGTGTCCAGCGAGATGAAGATTTTGTCCCATGGGACGAAATCTATAGTGCCGCTATTACTTCGGCAGAAGCGCCTTCTCTCCGCACCCCAGATGGTGTCGACTCATCCAATGTGACTGTGGTCGTTCCACCAGAGGATCATGCACCCGAATGGATGAGGCAGGTCGTTTGCTGCGCAGAATGGGAGACTAGACATGCCAAGGTGGAGGCAGTAGTACCAGGACCATCCCCTGGACCCACGAAACCCACCAAGGTGGCTCTTGCTGTGATCAAACCGTCTACTGGCCCGGGTGCTGTACTGGACATTCACGATCCGGCAATCCTTACACACATCCCTCGAACTACAGGCGACCTAATGAGACTTTGGGCACCTATTCTTGGCTTGAAGCTTCTAAATGTCGATCCTGGCACGTCGGATCGCTCTGATCATCGACCCGACAAGCATCGTACATCTGCATCCGACGGGAATGTCCCATCTTATCGCAAAGGTGGACGTCCCCCCTCCCAGGACGTGCGTGGCCTTGTCGAAAAGGTCAAAAATGGTGTTCCAGGGAATAGCGTTGTTGCTCCTGGTGGAGCCGGCAAGATTCGACTCCTCACTCGTGGTGAGAAGTTGGATCCTTGACTTGAAGTCTCAGGTTGAAGCAGTAAGCTCTCCGTTTCTACCTCTATGGTGTCAATGACTCTTACACATTGCGGATTGAAGTCTCCAGCTGCTATCGCTTGCATAGCAGGAGTTTAAATATGCGCTTGCCTGCGCGAAGGGCTGTGCCGGTCTCATAGTCTCCTCGACTGGTTGACCTGCTGGAAGATCCGGCCCCCTCGTCGCGCATATGCCCATGGAACGTTCAGCTTCGTCCCCCAGCGATGTCTTTCCATCGCATTCCCGATTCGTTTTCGACTCTCCGTCACGGCTACGTTCTTTCCCATACCGGATTATTGCTGTGGACCCTTCGCGTATTCCATTTCTCCCTGTGTTTGTATGCTGTCCCCTCCTTTGCTTTTCTTGTCAGCTGGGAGGTTTGAATTTCTGATTACTCTATCTGGAATTTTTTTCCGTGCACACGCTTGAACAAAAAGCGGTTGGGGATTTACTTCATGTCTCGTCGCCCTTGCCTAAATTCGGTTCTTTCCCGAGCCCCCTGTATTCTGCCTTGCAGCCCTTTCCCCTATCGTGATCAAAAGAAGATGTATGTCCGTTGCCGTCGACGGCGCGCGCTCGGCATGGGGATGAAAGTCATCTCTCTCATTACCCGTGTGGGCCATGCCCATATATTTGGTTGGTCGATCATTTGACAGCATTATAACATTTATCACTTTCTGGAGAACTTGCCAAGTCAGGGGACCTGGGAGAGCATGCCTTTTTCTATTGTATGCGCCTTGGGTAATCCGAAGACAAACAAAGACATTTACTCATGCTTCGAGACGTGAGGTACGACCTGGCCGATCAGGTGCTTATAGCAACAGCAACACGACTGTACCTATCCTCTTCCACCATATATGGTCTTAGTGTATTCTTGCTTGGCGTCGATCCTTGTTTTTGGCTTTCCTTGCTGGTTTGTTGCTATTCTTTTGCTACGGGCTTATCCCTGCAAGGTTTCGTCTCATTTGGGTATGTGAGTGAGCAATCTCTTCCCCGTCTGTGTCTGTGTCTCTGCGTGTAAATGTACTGGGTGAGCCAGAGGAAAGGGGGGTTTGGAGGTCGGGTGGATATCGGGTACCACTGATGACTTGTCCGTGAGAACTTCAAAGGTACGTTTTCGGAATACGTTGAGGGGGGGGAGGGGTCGCCGTTCCTACCTGCTCTATGGAGGGACGGGCAGCAGCACTCTCGTACTCTTATCACTTTGGGATGCTCGCTGCGCCGATGGATTGACATGCTCTGTGCTCGGAATGAAGAATTTCTTGATAACCGCTGGGGCGTGCCAGGGTATGTGATGCGCACTGCCATGAAGGGGAGAAAGAAGGGCGATAGTGATGCATGATAGGAAAGGTAATATCTATCGTATTGGGGGGACAATACATCTTATTTATTTTTATTTATTTATTTTGCAGACCCTTGCATCCACTTTCAAGGGGGCTGTATAGGATTCATATTATTATATAGTTCGTACGCCGTTCACACTCTCAATTCTGCCACTTGGACGATCATGAGGATGGCGATGATGACTGACTAGTGGCGCCCTGGTAACTCCTCTTGTGTGTGCGTACATGTATATATACAGCAGAGAGCTCGCGATAAGGGGGTGTGTTGTATTTGTCCTCCATTTTCTTCCCCCTTCCTCTTTGCTCTGCTGTGATCAAATGGCCATGTTTACGAAGATTTGGGATGCTATTTGGATGGTATTTGCCTTATTCGGTGCGTCGATTTCTGTTCAAGGTGTTTCCAGGAACAATTTCACTAACAACGTGCGTGCGTTTTCCTTTTCTTTCTGTTTCTGTTTTTTAAATCAAAAGCGCGGAGCTATATTATTTCGGTCCTCGAACGGGGCATCCACGTCGGCGAGCTACGCATCGACGAAGTCAGATCGGGAAGAACCCACGTGTATGGGAAACGGACGAATAAGAAAAATGCGGTTGTCATTTCTGTTCTCGATGATCGCTTCTGGACTTGTGTGTTTCTGTGAGTTTTTTTTTTTTTTTTGGTTAAGCGCTCCACCCCCTTTTCCCCTTTTCTTGGTACACGACGTATTGTTTTATGTTGCTGATGCGTCGTATGAAATATTTTATGCTCTAGTTCATCCGACCTGGGTTCGTTTTGTCTCCTCGGTGGATTAGCGCTCGGACAGCATGATCGAATGAACTTTTTTTTTCTCATTTTTTTCAAAACTAGGATTCGCGGAAGCCTATATG